GGCATATGGCAGAGAGCACCTCGCACGCTCTCGCACAGGTACGGCCTGGCACCTACACCATCATACACACGTCGCTGGGGCACTTCCTGAGCTGCAGATCCATCTCTTTGCAGACATTATTAGATGTTAGTCGAAATGAACCTCAGGCTGCTGGAGCGATGCAGAAACTGGGCAGAGTGAGCTACACGAGCCAGACCAGCGGCTGAAGGGAGGCGGCCCTCGGATCCTTCGTGACCAATTCTGCAAGCTCAGGGCCCCACCACCACCGAGACCCCTCAGAATTACCATTTCCCACAGCCCGGGCCCCTCGAGAATCCACTTTTTGTAGGGAAGTGCTCCCACAAGCACTTGCCCTCCTCCCCCGACCTAAACTGCCTGTCCCCTGTCTCCTGCCTGTACCTGGAACTTGCCTCCGTCTCACTTTATCCATTTCCTCTCCTCCCTGTCCACAACCCCTTCCTTTGTCATATCATTTTTAGCCTCTTGATGGGGCCAGTGACGAGTCCTGTGTCAAGACAGAGAGCCTTCCAATGGCTGAGTTGTGTGGGAGACCGGAGCGGGCCAGGCCGGGCTGCGTGGGTCGCCGCCTCCCTGCTCAGGACATGCACACCTCAGGCAGACTCGGCCAGAAGGACAGTACAGGGAACGCATCCGTCAGCGCTCTTTCTGCTCCAGGCCCAAGTGAACTCTGAGAATAAGGGACAACACACGCTTCCCAGCCCAGCAGGCCCGGCCGCCACGGGCAAACACCCCTCCTCCTCCCACCCCCACATCCCACGCACTCTGACTGCGGTTCCCTGGACCCACCCTAAATCCGGTTACAACGGGTGCACGTATAAAAACACTTTCTCCCTAGCTCTTCTAAGGACTGTCGGTGCTCCACGAACAAGAACGAAGAAGAGCTGCTGAGTCCTTTGGCTGTCCACGTGACCAGTCTGGCCCTCCTGGCTGGCTATCGCACAGACCTGGACAACGGGTCAGTCTCAAAGCATGTGCTCAGCCAACACTTGAGACTTAAAAGACTGTGGCCCTTCCTTCAACTGCAACGGAGAGAAGATGCGCTCCAACGTACAAGAGTGCCTGCCGGGAGGGAGGCAGCCAGCAGAGGAATACAGGAAAAGGGCGACTTTCTGAAGCAAGTCCATTTCTTCCTTTAATTATCTTTCCTTCCCTTGACCATATTTTTTATTTCTGAAAACTCTCTCCTTAATTCTTCGAACTGCATATAATTCCATGGCACTTGTTCTAAGAACTTTTTATTCTATTCGGCTGAGTCACATGGTTTGCCATCTCTGTCACTCAAAAACAGTCAAATATTTGCAATTTCATATGACTTCACCTAAAACTTGGGGATTTACTATCAATTTAGTTACAGTGAGTATCCAAAGATACAGAGAGTGTGGGCTCAACAGACTATGAATTTGATGTGACAGAAGACGTTAGAAAAACAAGAAATGGTCAAAAGCTGGGGTAGTCCCTTAAGTTTTAGCAGACACGATGTGCCGATAAACAGAGAAACGGGCTCCTCAGCCTTCGGCATTAAGGCAGGTTCACACACGTGGACGGCTCAAGTGCTAGGCAGGCCGACTGAAGGTTCCTCTCCCGAGGGCACCAACTCTAACAGCACAGGTACCGCACGAGGAGAGCCCTTCGAGGCGATGCCCTTGGCGGGCTTCTGTCATCCCCACGTCATCCAAAGGCTTTTGGAGCCGAATTCCACCTGGGCCTGTTTACTGGAGGCAACGTTCCCAAGTCCTCAGTGATGACCCCTACACATGCTCACTCTGCTTCGTGTTTAGAAACGCGAATTTATAAACTTCAATTACACGCCCTTTCAAGGCTCCTCTTCCCTAATAAAAAGACTAATTTTTTGTGAACTCCAAAACTGTACTTTCTATCAGTGCCATTTCACTTTCTCAATGGAGGATGAAAATCTGGCTTAGTAATACATTTTAAATTATTGAGTATTCCTCACAACTTTGTTCTTGTATATTTTCAGTCAGTCATGAGGGCTGCTGAGACCCAGCCTCTCGTGGAAACAAAGATAACGTGTCAGTGAGAGCCTTCCAAGGGAGCAGACGGCAACCGTCAGCTGAGGAAGGATGTTTCATGAAGAAAAGAAGATTCTCTCAATTCACCGGATACAGCAATTATCTCCAGATGCAGAAGCAGCACTGAAATCCATTCCTGGATGCCAAAAACCTTGGGTAAAACTGAGGCACAGTGATTTACCTGAAGGGTCACCAAGATCCGAATTCTGAAGTTAGCTCTGCCCCCACACGCAGACAGGTGCGTTCTTACGAGAACTAGCTGCCCTTCCATCCCTCAGTTTCTACGGATTTCCTCTAACGATTTTAACCAGTCACCCCAAAGTCCTGTGAGAATTTAAAGTCACTTAAAGGCTTAAAATCTAAATAAGCTTTTAGTAACAGGAAAGAGGAGCATTTTCTGAAGCTGTATGCCTCTTGTAACAAAAGAAAGGCACACTACAGATCAAAACGGAGAATTCAAAATACCCATTTGCTTTTCCAAAGTGGCTGCTTCAAAGGCCTTCGCCAAACCCTGCAAATGACAGTGTTCTGTGAGTGCTGAATCCATGCAACACACGTCTCTCCCCTTCAGGAGCACCCAGCAAGCAGCCATCTAACGCCACGCCAGGCCATTAAGGGCCTGCTAGGATTGAAAAGTGTGTGTTTTCCAGAGGAAAGACACTGCCCTTTGGGACAACAAAAAGTGACCTGTGCAGAGGCCAGCCCGATGACATAGCGGTTAAGTTTGTGTGCTCCGCTTCAGTGACCTGGGGTTTGCAGGGTCAGATCCTGGGCACGGACCTACGCATTGCTCATCAAGCCATGTTGTGGCCGCATCCCACATAGAAAATAAAGGAAGACTGGCAACAGATGTTAGCCAATCTTCCTCCCAAAAAACAAAAAAAAGTGACCCATGCAGACCCACAATGTTCTTCAGCATTTTATGCCACTGTCATGCCATAAATTTCTCTTTCTAGTTCTCAATAAGCTACGATATCCTGTTGATTCTATTGTCAACTTGTTTTTAAAGTCAACTATGATAAACAAGCTTACAGAATCATCTGAGGTATCAAATTTCTCAAAAGAATAGATGACACATAGAGAAAACAGATATATAATCTCACTATGAAATAAATGACAATCTCTAAAATTTACTAAACCTGAGAAGGAAAAAAAGAGTAAATTCCAAGTGAAAATAATTTGATCTTTCCAACATCTTGACTTTGAAAGCTCTACCGAATTAGCTTATTATTAATCATTTGACTACCACCGTAATAGATGGAGGCAAGACCCAAGAGCCTTTCCAAATATTAAAAATATTGCCCCCAAAGAAAAAAAGATTCAGTGCTGGCCTAATATTTTATCCAATGTGATCTAAAAAGGAGTCACAGTATTATTGGAATGTGACCAGTAAAATCTATAGTTGTAAAAAGGTTTAAAAAAGAAAAACCAAGAATTAATCTTCAAAAATGCCAGCCAGTGGTTGCAACTGGGTTCACTAGGTTTTACATGACAAACTGTTAGAAGAAGCCAAAAAAGCTCACAGGACGAGCATCCATTTTCAGAGAACAGTGCATCCTCCTGCTCCATCCCACAGGGTAATGAGTAAGAAATGAAATGCAAAATACAGTCGATGCATAACGTGTCCATTTACCTGTGTACACACTTAGAAATGTGCGTGCAGACTCAGCACAGGTTTCCCTACAGATTAGAGACACAATCTTTTTCTACAATTTATTGACTCAATACATATTCGAGTACGTAAGCTATCACATAATACACTGTATAAGCCTACAATAATTAAACTCTGTTCCAAAGACTTGGCTAAATCTCTAATGATGAAAAATGACATAGGATTTGTATGTTTTGTTGTGAAGAAATGCTCAGGGGTCATGACCTCACTACAGATTGCAAACAGTCCTGCTGCAGGCTTGGGTTTCTGGACCCCTGACCTTTCAGGTAAAAGCCGCATCCATTAAGCAGTGCTCTGGAAGAGGAGGAAGACGTTCCCCGCTGTACGGACGATCTAACAAGTTCTATAACAGAAACATCGCCCTCCACTTAAAAGAATCACACAAACAAAAAAATAATCAAGAAAATACCAAAAGGTTTAAAGTTTATAAAAAGTAGGAAAATGACAAAAACAAACTTGGCCAAGTGTCTTTAAATATTTACATAGGTGCTCTTTGGAAAGTAATCTGTTCCAATTAGCCGTCTCTGAACCCACAGGGTTACCTGAATCCGAGGAGATTAATTATACCCGCACACCAATTTGAAGTTACTCTTTTATTCGGCTGTCTGGCGCAAGGGAGGAGGGGAGCAGAGGAAAGTGTGTGCGTACACGTGCGTGTGCAGGCTGTATGGTGAGAGAAGTGGGTCTGGAACTGCAAAGAAAGAGAGGGGTACATCCCGGAGGTGGCCCATCACCTGCTCTTTGCTCAGAAATGACCAGGAGAGACCATCAACTCAACAAGCCACAGGTGTTAATTTATGCAAACACAATGGGCAATTAGCACAAAGGAGCCTAAAGTGGAGCTGAGAGTCGCCTGTGTCTGCCTCTTCCAGCGGGAGCTCCAAGTATACAGTGAGTTCAGACACCTGGGTATGGGGCCACCCGGGTGCAGGGCTACCTGAACCCCGAATACCTGGGTATAGGATATCTGGGAAAGAGCTATCCAAGCAGACTTACCTGGATATGGGGCTACCTGAGAACTGGACTGCCTGAGCCTGGCAAACCAGGATGCCGGGCCACCTGGTACAGGGCTACCTGAGCCCCGACTACCTGGGTGCCAGAACTACCTGAGCCTGGATCACCTGGGTGCGGGGCTACTGGGCCTGCACTTCCTGGGCTCGGGGATCCCTGAGCATGGGAGCACCTGGGCAGAATACTTGGGCAAAGGATAATCCTGGGAAGGGCTACCTGGGTGCGGGGGCCACGTGGGTACCCGGCACCCGCGCGCGCACGCTCACCTGGGGCCGCGATGGCCGCGCCCTCCTCTCCGCTGTCCTCGGCGGCCTCGTCGGCCAGGCCGGAGCCCGGGGAGTCGGCGGCGGCGCAGGCCGAGCCGGGGCTGCTGGGCTGCGAGGCCGAGTCGCCCTCGCTGAGCGAGCCGCAGCGGGCGCGGGGCGCGCGGTCGGCGGGGCCATCGCGGTCGCGGCGCGCGCGGCGGTGCACGCGGGAGTGCAGCACCATCTGGTGGTAGGTGCGGAAGATCTTGCCGCACTCGAAGCACTCGGACGACTTGCCGTGGCCGGCGGGGGCGCGGCGCGGCGGCTGGGGCGCGCGGCCGGCCGGGGCTCCAGGGGCCCGGGCGCGGGGTCCCCAGCGCGCCCGCCCTCTTGCGCGCGGGGCCCTGCGCGCCCGGCTCCGGCTCGCGCTTGCGCTTCTCCTGGCTCACCAGGATGTACTCGCGCCGCTCCTTGTCGAAGGCCACGTCCCGGCCAGCGCCTCGTCCCAGGCCCCGTACTTGAGGTACTCGCTGGCTCGGCCACCTTGCCCCTGGTGGCCAGCTGCCAGGCCTGGTAGCTGTTGACCGGGTCCAGCTCGGCCACCCGCCGCCCGGCCTGGCCGCGGGCGGGCGCGCCGGCCTCGGCGGGCCGCAGGTTCAGGCACTGAAGGAAGAGCCGCTGGGCGTCGGCGGGGCCGCCCTGCGCCGCGCCCTCCCCGGCCGGGGCGCGAGGCCGGCCGGCCTCCACGCGGCGGTGGATGGCGTTGTGGGCGTTCAAGCTGTCCAGGTTTGTAAACAGGTTCCCGCACTTGGTGCAGACTTCGTAGAGGGACAGGCCGGCCACGATCACCTCCTCCTGCACCACGTTGTTGATGGTGGCGATGGGGTCCAGCTCGCTCCTGGGCTTGTTCTTGCTCCCCGTCTTCGGGCCGTGTGCCTTCATGTGGTTCTTCAGGAACCACGGCTCTTTGAATCTTCGGCCGCAGATGTGGCAGCCGTGGTCGAAGGAGCCCCTGTGCTTCTTCATGTGAGCCTTCAGGAACCAGGTCTGGCTGAAGGCCTGCCCGCACACCTCGCAGGGGAACTCCCCAGGGGGCAGCTCCGGCTTGCAGTTCTCCGCGTAGGCCTCGCCGCTGGGCACCTGCGCAGTGATGTGGTCTTTCTCGATGTGGCTCAGCAGGGACTCCTCCCTCAGGGTCATGTAGCTGCAGAGCCTGCACTTGAAGGGCTTGTGTGCCTGGTGCACGTGCTGCTCCAGATCCTTCTTCCGCTCGAACTTGCTCTTGCAGAAGGAGCACTGAGCGACTCCGGCCTTGCCCTCCTCGGGGCCCCCCGCGGCCCCCTCCGGCTCCTTCTTGCTGCTTCTCAGCAGGATCTTGCTGTTGTCCACCTGGGTGGCCCCGTTCAGGATCTTGTTGCAGGCCGAGGTGCTTTTCGTGGGGCTGGTGCAGCCGTCCAGGCCCTCGGCCACGCGCATCTCGCCGGCCTCAGGCTCCTGGCCCTGGATCAAAGTTCCGGTGCGGTGGCTGCGGATGTGGATCTTCAGGTTGCCCTTCTGGGATGCCCTGTGGTCGCAGTAGGGGCACTTGTAGGGCTTCTCCCCCGTGTGCTTGCGCATGTGCTGCGACAGGGAGCTCTGGAAGGGGAAGCTTTTGCCACAGATGCAGCAGCTGTGGCTCACGGCCTTGTCCCCGTCCACCTCGGGGCTCCTGCTGGCCCCGGTGGGGCTGGGGCCCCTTCTCAGCTCCATCTCGGCCTCTCGGCTGCGATCCATCTCCAGGACAAGGGCTCGCCCGGCAGGGGCGGGCTCGGCTCGCTCTCACCAGGCAGGCCTGCTGGACAAGGTCTTATCTCTCCATTTTCAGATAAGTCTTCTGCATCCCAGCTGCAGAGTGGTTCCTGCCACGGCGACGTGCATCTCCTACCTGGAGAGCATGGCAGACACAGCGAGCCCCTGAAACAGAAAAGACACCATCTTAGGAACGAGGCTTCCGAGGAAACAGGGACCCAGTAATATCCAGGGATGGGGACCGGCCGCTCCTGCTGAAAAATCTCAATCCAGTCCACATAAAAGAGACGCCAACAAACGTTTAAATAGATGTACAGGCAGCCACTTCCGTTAAAAGATCAATAAGCAAACGACAAATTATTGGTAACTGTGTGCTAAATTATTGTAAATGACTGCACTAAAATAATTTTTTTTAATAAAAAGATACCAGTTCTTCAGGAAAAGACTGTCATGAGAGACTTCGTGGGAGGGTGACAAAGGCAGGCCACAGAACAAGGACAGCGTGTGGGAAGGCGAAACAAAGACTCGGGATGGGGAGGAGGGGAGTGAAGACCACGGAGGCGGAGGCTGTGCCAAGAGCGAGTGAGCCGCAAACGCAGGTGACAATTGTGATGGGCGCTTCACAAATGTACCTCTGTGTTCAGATGTTACGGAAACGGGTCTTTGGTTAAGAATGTAGATGATTCAGTCAAGGCGAGGCAACGAAGGGCAGAAGCAGAACCCTGAGCTCCCCGATGACAGCAGGTGTCAGTCACACTGTGTGGTCACTGCCACTTTCATGTCCTTCCCACCCTCAGAGAACAAGGGGCAGGCCTGGTGTGAGTGGCTCCTCCAGGGGCCTGGGTGCTTCCAGCACCCTGTGCACCAGCAAAGGCGAGCTGGACGAGGCGGTGCCGGGAGCTGTGCCTGACACACAGCGGGTGACCGTCCACGCCCCGAGAAAGCCAGCATGAACGCCTGTACGCCACCCAAGGGGCCGAGACAGCACACCGAAAGCACCTACGTACAGCAAAAAAAGGAATTTCCATCTGACTTGTGATAAGTAGAGTATAAACAAAACAGAGCCGACTGGAAAGGATGTGAGAGATACGGCGTCTTTCAGGACAGTGTCCTGACGGCTTAGAAAGGGCAGGAGGGCTGCCCACAGCTCCTGGGGACAGGTCTGTTTCTCCTTCTCCCCTCAACACAGAAGTACTCGAAATCATGACTGTGAGGGTCTCCCTGCTGGGGAGGCTCCAGGTTTGCACAGAGAGGCCCCCAGATGGGCAGATTTTCTTTAAAAAAAACAAAAACTGTTAACAGGTAGAAAAGAAGCCGTGTTTTTACAAATTTTTGTTCAAAGATGAAGCTCTCTCCCCAAAGAAGCGGAACAGGGACTCCTTGTTTGCTCTGGGTTGTCCCCCCCGCCACGTTTTCACCAGAGCAGACACAGAAAAGCACACTGAGGACAGGACAGAGGGACGAGGGGTGTCCACCCAAACGTCCCCAAGGAGTGGGGATTCTGAGCGCATTACACTTGTTCCTCCACTTCCCCACGAGAGTGCAGACGCCATCCCTGACGGACACTTTCTGAAAAGATGACACAGTGCTCTCTCCACACCACCTCCTCCCACAGACCCACATAGGAACAGGCAGAAATCTCCTTTCAGTTACGGATTCTCAAACCTCTTTGGAGAAAGCCCTGTGCTCGCAAGTTTCCCCGGCTCCTGAAGAAACCGACAGGCGGCGGAGCGGCCATCAGGGGTTGCTCTTACACTAACAGGTGCACACAGTACCTCCTGACAAGAGGAGCCCCAAACTCCAGGTCTCCATTAAAGTAAATGAAAACGCCACCTAAAACTGGATAAACCATCGTGGTTACCAAGAACACCTCTTAATGATAATTTAAACTAATTTCAATTATCTTTTCGAGCTGTTTCGGTCTTGGCACAAGTTCTGGACAGCTGTGTATTATTTATGATGATTTATAAGGCAAATGATTGGCATGTATCCCCTTCTATCCCAGGACTTATTTCATCCCCCAAATGTTGAATGTGATGTAATATATAAAGTATGAATGAAACACACTATTTATATTGAATTTAGTGACCTAATCTGGGTATAAAAATCGTAGGAGTTAAAGAACCATATACGAATAAGTTTACAGAGAAAAAAAAAAAACAGTGGAAATTGGTGGCTCTGAAATAATTTTACAGACTCCACTCCACTGGACCTGTCTAAGTCGGTTCATAAAGGATGTTAAATGTCAGACAGTTCTCCAATTCAGGAGGATCAAACAGCCAAAAACCAGCCATGAGGATTCACAAAGTACGAGCATTCAACTAGTTAAGGATCATAAGAAGTGACCCACAAATGCACCTGGAAATAAAAGTGAATTTTTCAGTGAGAAGACTCTGAATCATAAAAATGCGCACTCTGTGCCAGTTTGTTCCTTCCTTCCTTGCTACACCCTGCTGTTTTCAGCACTTCCAGGAGCCAGTGAAAGTCAGAGGCTTTCAAAGCCAAGCTGCCACTCCAGGGGTCTGCACATGGAGACCCCGCCTCTGTGCCACCCAGGTGGGCCAGGTCTTGGGGTCTCAGCCAGCACTGATGCTGCAGAGTGGACCCTAGTAGCCCTGGTCCCTGTTAACCAGCCATGTGGCTTGCAAGGGGCATCCTTCACATCCTGGGCACATCTCCTCATCTGCCAGGTGCTGAGAGGACACGACATGAGGAAGCCACATCTCACCAGCACCTCCTGCAAGCACCTCCTCGGAACGCCACTCAGATCCCCTGTAACACACAGAGTGGACAGTCCAGGAGCAATGAAACGCCGCCCACTGGGGGCCTCGCTTCTCACACCAGGCAGCATCCTGCCGTACAGACCCACAGGCCCAGAGTGAATGCAAAGAGGATTAGATGTGAGTGCAGAGGAGGAAGGAACCAGCTCGGGTGGTCCCAGGCCACCTCCAGCATCCAGGCACGCCGTGGGTGCAACAGGACATGACCATGCTGCCCCCTCTTCTTTCCATGGGGGGCCTCAGACTCTTCTGCACATTTACAAAGGCTTCCTTCGCGCCGCCATCCTTGTTTGCTGAGAATTCCCACTCCCATTTCCTCACTACAGCCTTGATGTTTAAAGCTTCTGATTCCCCAACACCCCAAAGCCTGGACACTTTCCCTCAAGAAGCCCAAAGACTAGAGAACATAGTTTTCATTTCTTACTTGGGCGTCCTACAAAACTAGCTTGAAAGCTTTACCCAAAGCCAGCAAGGCCCTGCAATTTACAGGAAAATTCTCAAGTTGGGGCATTAACGGGGCCTGCAATCAGCAGACAAGCTCTTCTTTCTCTTTTGTTTCCACTTCCTCTCCACCACCCCCATCCTGGAGAACTAAGTCCCTGTGAGAGTTGCATGGGATGCATTTTTAAAGAACTTAAAAATATTCTGGAGAGGAAAATATATAAATGTAGAAATGGAAAAACTACTATAATGGTAATGACTATTTAATCCCAATTACCATTATCCTAAGGAAATCATAACATCCACAAAAGTGGCTCCACTTTTACAAGGTCCGCGCGTGGCCCCCTTCCTCCTGCCCACAGTGGGCCAATGGAGTTTCTTGCAAACCTTTAAAGAAACAGTCAAAAAGTTAATTTCCTGCAACGGGCTCTCCTCAGTCAGTGGCCAAATCAACCAATCTTTGTGATTCTTTTTAGCTGCAGGCAAAAGCCGCTATTTAAGACAGGGTCATCACTTTGTTTCCAAAAAAGAACAGGAATGCTGTCATCAGAACTTCCAACTTAAAAATGCACGGTGGGCAGCGCACCAGTTAGAAAGCTCACGGGACGTCAGCGGCCCTCCTGGCACTCCGGGCTCTGCCCTCCTGGTTTAAAAAAGCCCACCAACCTCTGTGAGCTGGGAGGGTCTCAGCCCGTTTCTCAGCAGGACTTCTGGTCCCCATGGGGCGTGGTCCGCGTTGGAACCCCACCACGGGACAGAGCAATATAGTCCCTGGCTCCAGCTGAATGCACTTCAGTCCTGGGCTGCCTCTCTCACTCTCGCACACAAGCCACCGCGCGCCAAATGCGAGCTGGTGTTCCAACTTCTCCTAAAACACACTAACCTAAAGATAACTAGCTTTATAAAACGGGTAAATAAATGCTAGCTTTTTACCCAGACCGGAGTGATTAAAGAAAGTCTGCCTGCAACACAAACATCAGGAGAGGAGGGGGCGGAGGAGACGACATGAGCCAACATACAGCCACATGTCAACCCACATGGGGACACAGAGCACGGCCCCTGTGAACACAAAGTTTGCCCGCCATGAATCACAGTTGTGTTGTTGTTGTCTTATAAACTTTTTCCAAGGCTGTAATTGGGAACTTGCCAGACAAGACTGTAATTTAATTGTTTAGGTATAAAAATGTCTTGCTGATTAGGGTTTTAAAATAGATTTCCAGTGGCTCTCTCCCTCTGTGTGTATGTGTGTGTTTCTCTACAGCTGTGATGAACAGTTTGCCGCTACTTTTTAAAAATGCCTTATATCATTTTCAAAATAAATTTCATTTTGAAAAAGTTAGGTAATTCTACCACATTCATAAAAAATAAGAAAAACTAAAATGTTTATTAAAGAAAACAGAAATGTGTATTCATAAAAAATGCATTACAATGGAGATGGGGAGAGATTTAAGAGGACGAAATATAAAGGTTTTGAAAATAAAATATGTAGCTAAACTTTAAAAAATAACCACGTGAACACATAAATAGCTAAAGTGCTAGGTCTCAATGCACAGAAGTGAGGCTGCTGCCGTACTCAGAGATCCTTTCTCGGCTTACCGTGGAGCACAGCTGAAAGGAAGTCCCCAACTTCCCCAACACGGCTACACTCACTGGATTTGGGATCAACTTAACCTGTGGGTAAATGTTCCAACCAAGAAATCACTTCTGTAGTGAGCATCCTGGGGGCTGAGAAGTCACTTCCTGCCACACCCTGATGGTGCACTGCAACAGGTCCCCCAGGCCCAGGGCCACAGATGGGGTTACCTCACCTGCCCACAGGAACGCCTTTAGGAGCAGGCCCTGCAGAACTAGGATCCCAGGCCTACACCCGGAAGGAGAAGCTCCCTAACGCAGCCAAAGGATCTACCCAGAACCAGCGTGGGCGACTACAGCCCCCATCAGTGG